GTACAGAGATCGTTTAAGTATAAAAGTACAAAATGTACCTATTTTACTGTGTCTTTATTTAAGTCACTACCTCCTCCCCCAAAGAGCGCCCGTGAGTGCATGTATTAAGTGTTACGTACCCCCTCTAATTTTTTATATAAAGTAATGTTTAGATGAATTTGAAATTGTATTTTGCACTAAAAACTAAAATTATTTTCCAATAAAAAAATTTTATTATTCAAGTAGGCACATTAACCAATTAAAAATATTTGCAGCATGTCAACATGTTCATAATTAGTAAAATTCATAGATCTAATTGTATACTATATTAGATTATAGTAAAATTATTTACCACAATTATTTCCAAGTTATCGTAAATAAAATAAAATTATTGAGTAGCAAATCCAAGGAAGCACCCGCAAGTCACAAAAGATGAATTTAATTTTTATGTAAATGGTTTTTTTTTTAATTGTACATGATTTAGTAAAACAATTGTGTAAAAGTTGTCATGGGCCCAAAGCGATCCTATGAGTTCCTATAAACATATGTCGTAGAAGGCTTCGTTTCCGAAATACGGGGTGTTGAATATAAATTTTTTTTCTCGAATATTCATTATCACTTATAAACGAATGCTTAGATTTTTTTCGTGTTTGGGAGATAATGCCTATTAATTAAGGGGCATAAAAAAATGTTCAAAAACTTGCACAGTGGCGGAGTGGAGGGGGTGCTCAACCCCTTTCTTAAACAGAACTTCTACGCTAATGACTATTTTTTTTTAAAAATTGTTATTTTCATTATCTACATATAGTTTAACAAATTCTTCTGTCTCGAAATTTCTGTGCGTTTCCGAGTTATTTTGATTTTTAGTGTTTGTTGTGGTACTAAATTAAGTAATTTATTTATTATCAATTATCGGCTAAATATTCAATTCTTTCAACGAAACCTACCTAAATATGGTTTGTTAAGGATTTTAAAAAGCCGAAATCTCTTATTCTTTATCTCTTTCCAATGTAGTCAAAACAAATATTTGTTATATCAAGCTATACTCAAATACAAGACTTTTATAAGTTGAAATCTGTTACATTACATACATACATATATACAATACATTATTGTGCAGTTGCCAAAAAGTTTTAAGAAGTTGTTAATTAAATATTGTTATAAATTCAAAAAAATTCTCCATAAACATTAACATCAATGTTCATTCAATGTTTTTTTTTTGTAATTTAGTTGCAGTACATTAGTATTTACGCAGCACATAATAAATAAGGATTGTTAAAATTATTGTATTGAACAGATTTCAACTTATAAAAGTCTTGTATTTGAGTATGGCTTGATATAACAAACATTTATTTTGACTATATTGGAAAGAGATAAAGAATAAGAGATTTCGGCTTTTTAGAATCCTTAACAAACCATATTTCGGTAGGTTTTGTTGAAAGAATTAAATATTTAGCCGATAAATGATAAGCAATAAATTAATTTAATACCACATCAAACACTAAAAATCAAAATAACTCGGAAACGCACAGGAATTTCGAAACAGAAGAAGGGACATTATTTTTGTTAAACTGTATGTAGATAATGAAAATAACAGTTCTTTTTTAAAATAGTCATTGGCGTAGAAGTTCTGTTTAAGAAAGGGGTTGAGCACCCCCTCCACTCTGCCATTGTGCAAGTTTTTGAACATTCTTATCGCTTGTTTTATGCCCCTTAATTAATAGGCATTATCCCCCAAACATGAAAAAAATCTAAGCATTCGTTTATGTTATAATGAAAATTCGAGAAAAAAAAATTATATTCAACACCATGTATCTCGGAAACGAAGCCTTCTACGACATATGTTTATGGGAACTTTTCTTTTTAAAAACATGTGTTCTAACTTCTGTTAAAGTTTGTCTACAAAAAACTGACTCACCACGTATAGAAAGGGAGATATACATACACCTATCCTGCACTTATATTCAGCACCGTGCTATGAAATCGTTAGCTTCAAAGCTCTATATCTTTAAACCTACTCATAGGATCGCTTTTGGCCCATGCCAAGTTTTGCTCAGGAAGGTGAGAGCTATATCATATTTCAATTTCAGCCATTTTGACCGAAAGCCATTGTCCATAAGGTTTGTGCGGGGTACTTTGACTATTAGGTACCTATACCTTTTTTGGATTTCAAATTACATAGTATGTGAACATTTTACTAAGGTCATTTTTATGTAACACGTGTTCTTTTTAACTGTAGATTCACCGGTACCATTTCTGTTACTTATTTTGAAAACATCCTATTTAATCTTTTTGATCACATCTGGAAGTATTGTTCAAATTTTTTCCATATCTACCTGCAATTATAAATAAAATTGGTAAAATGTCAACAAAACAAAATGTGGCTTATAAAAACAGCAATAACTTCAAAGTGACAGTTATTCATAAATCACTTTACTGTAGTCTAAATGACCATTTATGCTGTATGTAATTATTGTAATTATAAAAAATAATAAATATATAAATTATTTAGTATTAAGTAGTTAAATACATATAAAGAACGTAGCGCTGGAAGTAGACATAAATTTATATTTTTCATTTCTGTATAAACGAAACATAAATCTTTTCTGTATATTTAATAGACCTTGCTCAATTTAATATTTACTTACCTTTTTGGCAATACTTCTAAATTTTACATCTTTTATAGTTACATACTACAAGTACATAATATAACCAGAAAAAATTCATTCTAAACAACGTCAATTTCACAGTGTGGAAAAGTTAGTAAAACATTTAAATATAAAGAGAATAGGTTTCACACAGTGGGAAAACTAGTAACAAACGTAACAATCTTACTTCCTTTTCCTCACTCCGTTCTTCATGACATGAAAAAGTGAGTGAGTGAGTGACACATTGTGTCTGGACAAGCTCCATATACCCACCCTGTTACGAATCTCGCAATGCTAGTGTCTGAAATTTGGTGTTAAAAATGGAATTAAGTGCAGCGAAAGGTTCAACATGTTAAGGAATGCCTTTGGCGACGATACTATGTCACAGACACAAGCATGTCAATGATACAAATGTTTTCAGGAAGACTAAGAAGAAGAAGCGAAATATGATCAAATGTGCATGAAGGTCCTTCTAACCGTTTTCTTCGACTACAATGGAATAGAATATTTCAATTTCTTTACAATTTTCTCTACAGATTTATAAAATCTTAACAATTTTACGTAAAAAATATTATCTTTGTCCAAATGGATATTTCAAATGGTTTTCGAGTAAATTGAGTGTGAAAATTACTCTGCTCTTTAAGTTATTAGGCCAAAAATTTAAAATATATTATAATAAAATATTCATTATTCAATATCAAAAATTCATCGGTTTGGCTTGACCTGGCTCGATAAGAGTAGTTTGCTTAACACCAAATCGACATGTTTGACGCTCCCGCCCTTTATTAGCTACCATTTTCGAGAATTTTCTTAGAGGGAAAAGTTGGGCGTCTCGTCAAAACGAAGCTGTTCCCCAAAATTCAGCTTGTTATTAATACAAAAAAGTGTCTGGGCCCGTGGACTATAATTGAAATGAAATATTATAATATTTCACCGCATATATATGCAGGTTTCAAACATTGGAAAATGTATAAAAACAAGTTGTTTTATAAGTAAAAAAACGAAAATTATGGAAAAATTCCTCGTATGCCACTAGAATCTACGTAAAAAATTTACAGGAAATCCTTCCTACAAAAATAAAAAAGTTTCACAAACAGAAAAGTTACAGAGCATCAAAGGAAACTACCAAAATTTAAAAACACCCTGTATCCCTTAAACGAATCTAGACGTCGAGATGAAGTTTTCTTCATTCAACTTTTCTCGAAACTCGAGCTCAAATAAAAATAAAACACTAAAAGCATCAAATTTGCCGCTCCCTGTACATAAATTTTTTTATCTGTTTTCGTTATCTAAACCATTTCCTGAAATGATTCAAGTACCTACATATTTTGGATTATTTCAAGTTTACACCTAATTTTTTATCTATATTTTCTTTATAAACGTACTCGCCCAATGTGAATATACCTACAACTGTAGATATTCCAAGAATTCATGGGCGTTCATAGAAAATTTGCCAAAGGGTGCGAGTACGTACAGGTCATAAAAAATACAAAAATGATAAAAATTTTCCGATTTAGTACTTTTGTGATTTGAGTGCAAAACCCAAGCAGCCTCTGCGGAAGTATAATCACTCCAAGAAAAAACGCACATACCGAAAACAAAACTATGGACTGTGGAAAATGATTTTTATACCTACATTTTATAGATATAGGGATTAAAAAAATGGATTAGGGTTGTTGACTATAAAAACAAACCCTATACAAATTGTTGTTGATACAAAGATTTTATATAAAAGAACCTGCTTGTACAGTAAAATTTTAAATATATGACAAATTAGTGGTAGAAATCATTTATGAATTTTTGCGTTACTTAAAAACTAGTCTGACGTCATAAGGGACAATTGAACAAGAAGCTAGTAGCGATCCTATTGCATAATTTTGAAGAAGAAAATGTCCAAATTGTTTGTCAAATCCTGGTGCCCTGTTTCCTGTTTTTTAAACAAAAGTGATACTAGTGAGTAGTGACAGCAGTCTATCATGAAATTTGGTCAACAACCCTAGTTGCAAATAAATTTAAAAAATATTCATATCACACGACACCGCGTGTAAACCATCGGCGTGGATCCCACATGGTTTGCAGTCGAACAGTTAACAATAACAAATGCAAAAGATAGTGTATAAAATTCTGCAAGGTCGACGGCCCACCGGCGTTACTTTGTTTTATGAGTCTAGGTAATGTCTCCCTGAACTACAACAAGAGATGCTCTTTATCGACCGACCACGACCAGCTAAGAAAATTTCAGTGGCATTCACGAGCCACGAGTAAGCCACGCCGAGAGCCTATTGGTTGAAGCGCGTGGTCTGACATAGGGCCACATCCCGTAGCACATAAATGCCAAGCGCAAATTCGTACCGACCAGTCCGCGAGTGTGTCTGGAGCATACGCGCGAAATTATTTATTAATTATTTATATTATAAATTTGGTGCTGTGCTACGTTATTTTGTGATATTACCTAGAATTTAAAGGAATACTTACATATAAGACGTAAGTTGGTTTTATTACACGCACACCTAATTAGTTAGGGATTAGGGTTAAAAAATCAATTTTGTTAAAAAGCCCAAATGACCACATACTGTGGTTTGACAATTTTTTAAATAAACCAAATTAGAGGCTGGTCCAAGTATGTATCTGTAACTTTTCTGTTTTTGTACCTAAGTTAAACAAAAATTTATATGTAAAATTACAAAATTATCATTATATGTATTAACATCATAATTATTGTCATTTATTCAGTTATTAATTTTAATGGTTAGGTAAGTATTTGACTATTTTATTAAATAATAACTTAAATAGGTATTAGGTGATTTTTAATATCAGGCTAAAAAGTAGGTCATATAATGTTTAGCATTTGCTTTATGATAACAGTAATAAATTTTCATTAACGCTAGCGTGATTCATAGCAACGAAATCTACATTATAAAATATTTTGATATTCTCAGAACGTATGTAAAGTTCATTTATGCATAAGTCAGGGACGTAACAACAGGGCGTGCTTGCTTCCACCTCCCAATTTTTTTCGTTAGTTTCCATAGAGAAAATAGTACGGGCTTCTTAACTTTTTCAATTTTGTATAACTACATCATTTTACTGTAGGTATTCATTTTGAACTAATTTTCTTTAATTTCTTTTAATAGTATAGGTACATACATACCTCTCAAATGATTATGGTCCAATAAAGTTACAATTACAGGTAGTGTAATTCTCAAAACAAAACAAAAAACATGTTTGTGTCCAACTCAAACAATCGTAAACAAAACTAATCGTAATCTTTGTTTAGCTATTACTATAACTAACAAACTACCTGATTAGTTTGTTTATATAGCCTAATTTTTTAATGTATTCAATGAAAATTCCTACACCTGTAAACAATTTGTAATAATGTTTATTCGCATAAAATTACCATTATATTAAAAGTTTAATTGATAATGATTACACAAATGTAAACAAAACAGACGAATGCGTAATATGTAGGTATGTGTAGTACGACTATTAATCATATAGGAATGTGATAAGTAGGTTTGTGCCTACTTATTAATTTAATTAGATTAATGATTTTTTCTGCAAACAAAAATTCGCAAATTCATGTTAAATTTCGATACATTGCTTAGAGAGAATGAAGATTGAACTATAAAAATAGTAATAGTTTGGAAGTGAATAGAAAGTTTTGAAGACGTCGATTTTAACAAACAGAAATTATTCGGTCCAATGATTAAGATCGACCAATGATTAAGATCGACTTAATTTCGACGACGAGAAATATTGTATATAAAATTTATAAATTCTATTAGCAGACGCCATTAACTAAAAGATTATTACATTATTAACATGAAAATGTAATAGTTAAAATGGAAATAGTTTGTAAAGCATGTAACATAAACTTAAATGTGTGATTTAAATTCGCAGTAATAAAACTACAACACATAATTGCATGGTAGTTCTCACGTGTAAAATTTCAATAACAAGCAACCTTTTATTAAATAAATGAGAATTAGAAATTTTAATTAACAATTTTGTGACATACATTCAATAATAGAAGAAATACATACTTATCCATTTAAAAAAACTGATTAAGGTTAGTGGCAGAAAACAAGCCTGTATATATCGTCAAATATTACGTATAAAATGACGGTTATTGTTACTACTACGAAATTTTCCTTGAAATAAAATACAACAACTTATCAAAATAAACAATTAATAATGTTACATAAACATAAAGTTCTATTTCATTTTGTGTCAGTTTGACATACTTTATAGCATAGAGACTTTGTTATTTAGACAATATGACTTGATGACCGATATATAAGGTACGTTAAGTAAACTGGACTTTTTTAAAAATCAGAACAATTTTTGGCAAGACCGATTTATTTTATTCAAAATAGCCCCTTTCCTACTCAATATAGCGAGTTACAGGGTCTAAGAGCATGTCGAATGACTAATAGCTGTTTTACATTGACAATTTATTGATGAATAAATTGACGAAGTTCTTCATCAATTAATTCATGAATTTATTGGTAAACAGTGTGGTTTTACATTGCTACAGACTTTGTCAAGTTTTTTGACGTATGAATCAGTTCTACCAATGAATCAAAGAAGCAAATAAATTTCAAAAATGTCACCTTTCCACTCATAATTGTAGTAATACAACAGCGGTACCGTTCTGACACATATTATATAAATATTAGTTTTTGTAAGTAACAAATCAGTAAAAACAATGCAAAACTAGCACCACGCCACACAATTATTTACATATTTAAATAACATAACCTTGTTACTGATCTGAGGCTGGAAATCTGTTGGGTTGGTACTTCCGAACATCACAAAGAAATTGACGAAAATTAGAACATGCTCTGATTCATCAAGAACTTGATGAATAAATTCATCAAGTTATTTGACAGCAGATTTGGTGCATTACACTTGTCCAATTTCTTGATGAAGCGACTTCATGAATTAATTCATCAATAAATTGTCAATGTAAAACAGCTATAAAAGTTGTTTCTGGATCGTATTGAAAACACCACATTTCATCACCAGTCACAATGTTTGGAAGTTTTTGTCCTTTTTTGGCCTCGATGGTGTCCTTCGAATGTTGAATACTGAGCAATTGTTGGTCGTCAGACAACTTATGCAGAACAAACCGTGGATACACTTTTCGGCAGCCAAAATGTTCGACCAAAATGTGATAAACTGATGTTTTTGAGATGCCCAATTCCAATTCTATAAATTTCAATGAAGATTTTTGATGATGTTTGATGAATTCACGCAGAATTTTGATGGAATCTGCGGTGATCACGGATTTCGGTTGCCTCATCATTTATGTCCTCACGATAAATTTTACAAGTTTAAAACAAAACTTAATATTAGCTGTTTGTTCGATGCTCATTCTTGTACCGATGATACAAACATACCGTCATTCCAGACGCAATAACTCCGCTTCTGTTCGTCGAAATGTCATGAAATTTTGTCAGTACGTCAGTGAATGATCTACCTTTTCGACGCATGCCAATAGATGGGCTCACTAGAAATACCAACTTTTGAAAAGTCCTGTTTTAATTAAATAAATAATTTAATAAAAATTCCTTTTTGGTTTTATCTTTGGTAATCCAGATTTTAAAAGTAGATACGAGTAGATGTTTTAAATTTGTTGCAATAGTGTTGCTCTGAAACCATAAAAGGTAGAAATGTTAAACTAGAGCAAAGTAATATAATAATTTTCTGGATAGAAATCGAAAACATCTTTGTTAGTTTGTGCGATTTGGAAGGAAATATAACTTTTGTAAGACCTGCTCTATTCGAGTGTTATCATTTTGAACCACAAAATTTTCATCAGTATTATTTTTTATTATAAGATTGTAGGAAATAAAATACCAACTTGAAAACAATTGTTTTTTAAATATATTAATATTAAAAAAAAACTTGTTGGTATTGACATTTTTTCTTACAATTTATATTCATATTCTTTTTAGTCACAGAAAACAAGGAAATAAAATCTTGAGAATGTAAATCTATATAAAAGCAAGAATAAAAACTACAAAGATATCGAAAATACTTTTTTAACTTTTGTCCTTAAAAAAATAAAACATTCAAAATTAATTTTCCTATCAGAAACATCACTATACAGGTTGTAACTAATATAACTATACTTTAATGAAATATTCTTTAACAAATCCACAAAAATAGTCTCTATAAATGTGTTCGGAAATGGTTCAATTTCGAAAGAGGTGTAATTCCAGGGGTAGACATAGAAATTTTCATTCCCAGTTATTGTTTTTTCCAGTCATTTCAGATCTAACTTGTTACTAAAGGTTTTCCAAAAATTTTTATTGCATGCACCGAAAATGGCGCATGCAATAAAATGATAAAACATTGGACCATATCTAGGTAATGCGATAACCGCAGTAATGCACCTAAGTTATTGCTAAGTGTCTACGGATCAGATTATTAAATAAAAGTAATTGCAACCACTCGAGTAACTACGTTATCTATTATTATATACTTACAGGGTTTCACTACTCACAACTATTGCAATGTATCATCATCAATCAAGAAGTTTAATTCATTGGATATTCTGTATATCACACGTCGTTGGAAGAATCCATCGCAGTATAAAAATATGAAATGAAGAAAAAATTAACTTTTAAATGTGTTTCCTATTTCGCGTAAGCCTTCAAATAAATTCCGATGACAAAATCGATATCAGAAATTCATTATGATTAAATTAGTACTTTAACTGTAACTGACAGGCGAATGGCCCAAGTCTTAGGGTGACTTAGCATTTAAGTGTAATATACTACACTTATTTGCTTGTCTTGCTCCAAAATTACATTTGAAACCTTTTCTATGACAGTTTAATGAAATTTAATAAGATTCATTTCATTAATGTCAAAATATTTATTAGCCTATATTTGTTAGTTTTCTGTGATTTCAATTTAATAAATCTATAAAAGGAACTATATCTATTTTCCTTTTTGGTTATTTTACGTCGGTCTGTTTCTACTATTGTTGCTAAACATTGACGCTTTGAGACGAGCAACCTTCAATACGGAAATTTTGTCCATCCACCATCCACCTTATCGTAAAGGGATCTTTTACTTGCCCAACACTGCTTAGCCAAGGAACCTTCAGAGTCCTTTCCAAGAGATGGTACGTCATTCTATACAACCTCGCCTAAAGTATAGTTTCTGTAAATTCTTCAACGTAGAAGGTAGACGAGCATCGCGAGCCTTCCTTGGATGGTCAACCATCCAGGTACTAACCGCGTTCAGCTATGTCTACTTTTCACATCAATAACATGAATGTTGGGGCTAGGCTACAGTCGTCCTTTGTCAATAGATAGATTCGTCAAAACACTTAATTTAACAAACTTATTGACTTCAGCAGCCTTTTAATAACCGCAAAAAGTAAAATTTTCGTTGCTTAAAAATTAATTTTCCTAATAATTTTTTGTGTAAAATCAAGTGATTTGGATATTTTCCAGTCACTCTAGA